TTCCCCAGTCACTCTCATCGATTCCTACGAGTCTTCTAGCTTCATGTTCCTGGTGTTTGACCTGTGAGTATCTCCCTGCCCTGATTTGAGAAGCCTCCTCACCTCCATGCATGGCCCCAGACTTACAGCACAGTGGGCTGAAGACCACCCTGCTCACACTTCCTTTTCCAGCTAGGGCCTGCCTGGCAGTCCATAGCACTGGCCCCTTTTTTGGGTACCCTGATTGAGGCAAGTTCTTTAAGAGTAATAGTGACCAGTCAGATACAAAGGGTCTTCATGACCCAAGCCCCCCACTATCCCAGTCCTTCAGGGTAATAAGGTTAGCAGGGAAAAAAGGGCTGATTTGAGAGTCTGTCCAGGAGCTGACCACTTATACAACAGATTCTTGCTCACCGGTCGTCTCGTTTAACAGTGTACTGGCTGGTGTCTTATCTCTGCTCATCAATTCTTTTTCTGGTCACTGTGAATCTGAATGTCACATGTTATACAATATGATGCAAACAAGCTGTAAAGGTACTTCAGAAGAGAATGGTTTGAATACCAAATGTTTAAGTGAGGCCCTTGGAAAAAATTCAGTTTTCACACAGAAATTACCCTCTGCAAAAGTCTGAGGGATGGTAGGAAGTGTCCATTTTATTTATCATTATGCAACTTTGCACAAACGATACTCCCCAAAATAATACCTGATGTGTTCTTTATATTTCAGTGATTGATACAGAGCTGCAATTATAACCACTCTTAGAAGACAAAATAAGCAAAATCAAAATAAAGTCCTGTTCAACTTTTTGCCACTGTGAATTGAAATTTTGGTCAGTAGTATAGATTCACTTTAAAGGGCCTTTTGAATATCAGATAACAAGGACCTCCTATAAATTATTGGCACAAGAAGACATTCATTCTTGCTAAAATAACCCCCTCAGGAACAGTGCAGATATTTTAACTGCCAACCCACTGCCCCTGGCATTCATCTTGCACTTGGAGTGCTCTATCTTGAGATCCTTTAGTTTGTCTACAGAGGACTCTCTCTTACTGGCCCCTTCCATAGTATTTCCTGTGAGCACTGGGCTTATTTTTCTCAGCCCTCACTGTGAGGTGCACCTACCTCCCAACCACTCCTATCTCTTAGGATGCGGAAGGGAGAGCTGTTTGACTATCTCACAGAGAAGGTGGCCCTTTCAGAAAAGGAAACCAGGTAATGGCTGAACCTGCAGCTCCTGGGGTGAGCAGGGAGTGGGGTGGGGCAGGGAGAAGTAGAGGAGACTGCCTCCTCCCCCAGGTCCATCATGAGGTCTCTGCTGGAAGCAGTGAGCTTTCTCCATGCCAACAACATTGTGCACCGAGATCTGAAGCCTGAGAATATTCTCCTAGATGACAATATGCAGATCCGACTTTCAGATTTTGGGTTCTCCTGCCACTTGGAACCTGGCGAGAAGCTTCGAGGTGAGGGGACCTGGTGTCCTAAGAGACTTGAAAGGGAAGGAGACCCAGACCTGAGGCTGGTTGGCTGGATCTGAGAACTGAGTCCCAGGTACCAAGCAAAGGGAAGTCAGTAAGCACTTGCCAAGTACCCTTTAGGTACAAAGCCATATGTGCTGCTTAGAATGGATTTCCTGACCTAGGGAAGATGGAGACAGGCAAGTGAGCAGGTATGTGGCACACAGGGTCTAGAAGCCATGCGGGAGAAGCCAGGAGAAAGGAGCACCTGATTGAGCTAGAGGGATACAGAGCAGAGGCTTGGAGCTGGGCCTTGGGAGGCTGGCTTCTCCCAGGAGGAAAAAGAGGGAGGAGAGGATAGTAGGACTCTGCTGCACATTTGGGGTCTGGGAGAGAGAGGAAAGACCACAGTGTGCAGCTTAGGTGTTATGAGGAAACTGGTATGGCCAGACATCTCACCTGGTACCCTGGGGACTCAGGCTCACCTGGTGTAAATATATTTGTTGTGACAGAAATAATTATGATGCAAATGGAAAACTAAACGAAGTTTAGCTGCAGGACTCCTCAGAGCTATTAATATGCTACTTTCTCTCCCTCAGTGGCTTTGCACTGAATTTATTAATAACTAACACTGGGTGCTTACTGTGAGCTTTGCACCATGCTGAGTCTTTACATGGCTTATTTCTTCAGATCCTCTCAACAACTCTTTGAGATAGCATTTGATAGATAGCATGTGTGTCTCCATTATATAGATGTGTTGTGACTTTCCCAAGGTCCTGTAGCTAGAATTTGAACTTGGGCAGTCTGACTCAGACTCACGCTCTTATTCTGTGGACTTACACGTCCTTTTTTATTTTTTTAGGAGACTTGAGGGTTGTTTTTTGTGTGTGTGTGTTTTTTTTTTTTTTTATGAGATACAATGTACTACTTTTTCTATTATGTGTTAATACTTTTTTCTATTTTATCACTGACACTATTACCGGTGTTTCCCATTTCCCCCATTGTTCATCACCACCACGCCACCTCTGGGCTTACATGTCTTATGGATGTTGTTGTTTTCCTTTGGGCTTCCATATATACTTTTCCCCATTCTGGAATCACCTTTACCCTTACTCACTCCACCTTCTCCCTTGGCTAGGGTAATTCAAGTTTCACTTGAAAACTCTAGGTCAGGTTAGATCCCTTGCTTTTTGTTCTTTACTTCCTTCATGGCACCTGTCTTACTCTATTCTCATTTGTTTTCTGGTAGACATTGAGTTTGGTAAGAGCACATTTAATTTACTACTGTGTCCAGTGTGGTGCTTGGTACATGGTAGGCAATAAATACTTGGTTTAGAAATGAATTTCCCAAGAGAGTCATTTTCAGTTTAGGCCTATCAAGATCTACTGGATATGTGCCATGGAATACAATTTAGAAATTTCTGGGATGAAAGAAATTGGTACCTGCAGTGGTAGAAGAAACTAAAAATATAGGCTTGGATCAAGTCACAGAGAGTTCTGTGTTGTAAAAGTAGACTTGATCCTGAGGCTATAATGGGAAGCTAGGGAAGGGCTTTAAACAAGGGACTTAACTAGCAAGTGCCTAAAGAAATCCCATACTCCCAGTCATTCACCTTTGTTTTTGAATGGTGGTTCCACTAACCAGAGTAGAGATTATAGGAAGAGTAGATTTGGGCAGAAAGGAATGCAGAAAAGTTTTGTTTTCCATGTGTGTTAAGCACATAAAACTGGTAACATGTCAGCAGTGGGTAGGTTGGTTTGGCCAGAGGGTGGGAGGCAAGTGATAGAACTGGGTAGGACCTTGATGTCAACCCAAAAGTCAGGTTTTCCCTGATTTTTCCCAAGGCCACCAGAAGACTTGGTGGATATTTGAATTGTTCAGCAGGGTCAGGATCTAGTTCTGAGACCTAACAGAGGCAGGCAGGAGAAGAACAGGAGTACTTATGGCCCTGGCAGGTTTGTTTCGTTTTTATTTTTAGAGAAAGGAGAAGGGGGAGAGAGAAAGAGAGGGAGAGGAACATCGGTGTGAGAAACATGGACTGATTTCCTCTTGCACGCACCCCAACCAGGGACTGAACCTACAGCCTAGGCATGTACCCTGACTGGGGATGTCCCCTTGCTTTGCAGTACAATGTCCAACCAGCTGAGCCACACCAGTCAGGGAGGCCTGGGCAGTTTTTGAGGCTCCAGGAGGGGGCTGGTGTTAAGGGCCATTCATGGGGCTGGTGGCATCCATCAATCTCAGTGCTCTCTTCCCAGAGTTGTGTGGGACCCCAGGATATCTAGCACCAGAGATCCTTAAATGCTCCATGGATGAAACCCATCCAGGCTATGGCAAGGAAGTCGACCTGTGAGTTTCTGGTATTCCCTGCCCTCTTTCTGTGTACTGTCCTTCAGTACTTTTGCCCAGCACCTAGTCCTGCCTGACTTTGGTCTCCTTCCCAGTTGGGCCTGTGGGGTGATCTTGTTCACACTCCTGGCTGGCTCACCACCATTTTGGCACCGGCGTCAGATCCTGATGTTACGCATGATCATGGAAGGCCAGTATCAGTTCAGTTCACCCGAGTGGGATGACCGTTCAAATACAGTCAAAGACCTGGTGAGCTGCGGCCATGAGGGTGTAAAGTGGGAGGCCCAAGAATTGCCCCTCATGCTTTGGTGTTCCCCTAGATTTCAAGACTGCTGCAAGTGGACCCTGAGGAGCGCCTGACAGCTGAGCAAGCTCTACAGCACCCCTTCTTCGAACGTTGTGAAGGCAGCCAACCCTGGAACCTCACCCCTCGACAACGGTTTCGGGTAAGCCTGAGAGTGTCAGGTCTGGGCCTGTTTCTCTGTGCTATGTGGAAGATGCTACACTGAGCTTACACTCCCCTTGTCCTTCCCAGGTGGCCGTGTGGACAGTGTTGGCTGCTGGACGAGTGGCCTTAAGTGCCCATCATGCACGGCCGATGACCAAGAGTGCACTGTTGAGGGATCCCTACGCACTGCGGCCTGTGCGGCGCCTAATCGACAGCTGTGCCTTCCGGCTTTATGGGCACTGGGTGAAGAAGGGCGAGCAGCAGAACCGGGCAGCCCTCTTCCAGCACCGGCCCCCTGGGCCTTTTCCTATCATAGGCCCTGAAGAGGAGGGGGACTCAGCTGCTATCACCGAGGATGAGGCCATGCTGGTGTTGGGCTAGCACGTCAGTCCCTGTGGAATCCCAGAAAGCAGGACTCTCCAGAAGGAGGATTTTTATTATTCCAGCCCCTTTGGCCTCTGGCCTCAGGCTCTATTGCCTGGCCAGGCCCACTACTGATCATACTATCATAAAGACCAGCCCTGTACACCTACACCCGCTGGCCAGGGCTTTGAGATCAGAACTGGGGTAGTAAGGAGCCACTCAGAATGTCATGCCTGGCCTCGTTAGTGCTGCCTGTGCTGTGTATACAATAAAACCTACACACCAGGGAGCGCCAGTGCTCTGTGTCTGGTGTCTGGCTTTGGCAGGGAGACCCAGAAGTTGCTCAGGAGTTGGGGTGGGGATGGGGCTACTCTGGCCCTTGTTTTTATTGGGGGAAAAGTGGAGGGTCACTTGGTCTTATTCTTGCCTTTGCCTGGAGGTAATTGGAAGGACCGCTCTAGGGTGGTCAACTTGCTGCTGAGCCTTTCCTCACTGGCCTTGAGCCGCTCCTCTACCAGCTGTTGGAGCTGCCCCAGCTCCTTGTTCAGCTGGTTCTTGATGTAGGCTCGAAGGATGGAGACCTGGCCTGCAGGGGAAGGGAGAAGGAACAGGTCAGGAGAGATGCTGCTTGGGGCTGAAGGATTGCCCATAGCTGGGCAAACAAAATTTCCGAGGTGTCACTGGAGCTACACAGGTGGCAGTGTTGCTTCAATTCAGGAAATGATAGCCAACCTTTCTGTGAGAGAGAGAGGTGGGTAGAAAGGCTATGCCAGACTTCCTGGATTGCTACTTAGTAGCTTTGTGAATTTAGGTTTCCTCCTGTGTAAGATATGGATAGTGATCGCACCTAGCACCTAGTTTTGAGGGAGGATTAAATGGCTTGATATATGTAAAATGCTTAAAACAGCCCTGACTGGTGTGGTTCCATGGGTTGGGGCATCGTCTCACAAACTGAAAAGTCACTGGTTCAATGCCCAGTCAGGGCACACACCTGGGCTGTGGGCCAGGTCCCTAGTTGGGGGCATGCAAAAGGCAAGTGATCGATGTTTCTCTTCTCCTTTTTCACTCCCTTCCCCTTTATAAAAATAAATAAATAAAATCCTTAAGAAAATAAAAAGAAAAATACAGGGCTTCCCTGGCACATAAGTGCTGGCTATTATTGTCATTGGTTTTATAATCATCCTTTTCTTGAGCTCCTGCCTCACCCCAAGTAGCTGTGCTTTCATCTGTCATCTGGGACTTCTGCATAAGGAATCCTTTGGAGAAAGGACACTGACTAAAAAACGTCTGAAGTCCTGTTATGGTCTAAACCCTTCATTTTATACCTGCCCAAAGTCACAAGGGACCCTAACCCCACCAGGTCCTCACTTGGCTCTTGCTGTGGCTTGACCACTGTTTCTGGTTCCTCTTCCTGTGGGGTGACAACCTGCTCCTCCACCTCCTCACCTTCTTTCTCTGCAAGCCAGAAGCAGGAAGAGACATCAGTCCCAGCCCCAGCCCAGTCCTAGCCCCAGCATTCTCCCTTACTTGTCTCATCCTCTGGCCAGAGCTTGGGTGGAGGTAGCCCCATGTAAGTCAAAGATAGATCCAGCCGCACCTGAGAAGAGGAAGAGGGCAACGGAGAGGAGGGCACCTGCACTGAGGGAAAGGAGGAGGTGAGGGGTGGTCTCAGCCCATGGCCCGGTACCTGGGGTGTAAAGGCGTATTTGTAGAGCTTGAAGTGGCGGAAGTAGGTGTTGACCACATAATCTGCCAGGGCCAGCAGCTGCTGCTCCTCAAAAAGGTTGATACTGAAGGGGGGCCGCTGTGGGGGTGATTGGGAGTTAGAGGACTGAGCACCTCCTGTAGTTCTGGCCTTTTCTCCTAGGGTCTAGCAGTCCAGAAGCAGGGAGAGCCCATTGTGGCCTTCAGAGGAAGATGAGTGATGAGTGTGAGAGAACAGGAGACTGGGCTAGACCTTGTCTGGGGAAAAGTGAAGATCCCATTCAGGGGAACTGACCCTGACTCCATGGCAAAAAAGAACACTGGTGAAGTAGCGGTAACATTCCTCCACATTGCCCAAGGGGGTTTCTGGAATGGAAAACAAGATATTACAGTGAGTTACCTCTGATACTCATTTCACGTAACAGCTACTTATTGAGCATGAACTTTAGAAGTAGATCTAAGTTTAAGTACTGGCTTGTTTCGTTAACTCACTCAAGTACTGAGTACCCATTATGATGCTTCTTAGCATTGAACAAGACAGACAAGGCCACTGCCCTTAAGAGGCTATGTTAGTGGAAGTGACATAAGAAACCAAAAAATATGTAATGTTGGTTCTTTAGTTAAACATTCTGAAGAAAACTAGTTCTGGGAGTGAATGGAGAAAAGAGCCACTTGACTGAGCACTGCATATATTTAGATATATTACATATATCTCAGAACGTTCTCAAAGTGAGTGTTCTTATAGATAAGAAAATAGAGAACTTCGAAGGTGAAGTAACGTATATGATAATGCTGCTAGTAATGACAACAGATTCCAGGTGGTAATCTCCCTATTTCTACTTCCCACGGTTACTTGTGCCATCCAGCCTCCTCCTCTTCCCTGGGCTCAAACCTGGTAGCCTCCTCCTCTTACCAACACAGGCCTTGTGAAGATCTTGGAGCAGGGCACAAGCTGTTGATGTCTGCTCCAGTGAGAAGCCCTTCTGGCGGCAGAAGATGAGTGCATGGGAGAAGAGGTCCAGGGTAATGGCATCCCGCAGGCTCTGCTCGGGACAACCTAGCCCCAGCAGCTTGGCCAGCACCCTTGAGAGGGAGAGAGAAAGGAGTGAGTGACAATGGAAGCCTCCCTTCACTATCCCACACTATTGCATGACATGCCTTAGAGCCAGGCATTCCTCATGCCTTCCCAGGCCACCCTCTTCAGCTTTTCTCATGCTTCTTCCCTTCCCTGCTTCTCTCCCCACCCCCATACTCCCTCATCTCCTCAGCGTTGCCTGTCTTCTCCAGCCTGTGCATGGAATGAATGTCCAGGTACTTCCTGTCATAGGAAAGGAGAAAAGATGTTGGCAGCGTTTACACATTGGTCGCATAGCAGAGCTAAGAGCACTGGATTAGGAACCAGGAGACCTGAATTTAAGGTTCAGCCCTTCCACTAATTTGATGTGTAACCTTAGGCAAGCCACTTCCCTATCTGGGCCTCACATTTTGCGTCTGTAAATACCGGTATGTTCTAAAGGAACTCATGATTCTCTTCATTATAAAGCCGAGGAGACTTGAGTTCTTGTTTCTGCACTGTCACTCCATTGCTGTATGTATGACCTTGGGCAAGCACCCCTGTGGGCCTCAGTGTCCCCATTTGCACAATGCTCCGTGGCAGCTGTGCTATTCCATTTGCATCCTCAGTCTCTGGCTCCCTTGTTCCCACACTTGCTCTTTGGACTGCAGAGGAAGGGGAGCAGGTTTCTAGGCATGTTGGGTAATTGCATCTCTGGGCCTCAGTCTCCCCATCTGTAAAATGGGGATGCCCTGGCTGTTTGACAGGAGGCTGGGGAAGCACTGAAGGAATAATGCAAATGTGACATGTAACTATTTCCCAAGGCTCTTCATACTCACCACATGCAGATCCGAGGCTTGGGCAGCGGAGGCTGCAGAGAGAAAGCAGATTGGACAGGGCCCTAGTCCGTGGTCTGCGGCGAATCTCCAGCGGGCCTGAGAAGCTTGCTTTCTTGTCTCAAGGACTAACAGTGGACAAGCAACGCGGGTGGACTGGGATTCAGCACGCCCCAAATACTACTATTAATTAGCATATCAACAATCGGGGTCACACACCCGCCTCTTCACCAAGGCAGACCGGGAAACGTCTTGAACATCAGTAAACATAACGACGGGTGGCGCCCTGCCGGGGAGCCCTTTTATAAATATACATGAGCAGATCACTCGTTTTTGCCCTCACCGGGAACAAATTGGCTGCAGGATCTTCATTCTCTTCTACCGATGCCGCGGTTCCCGATTCGGCCCGAACACCTGTTCCCCTACGCACGGCTGATTCATCCACTGAGCTGAGGTCCTTCTCGGGTTCCCGCCTCTGTTTGGAGAGTTGTTCAAGCTCCGACTGAATTCTCAGTCCTTGGAACTGGCTGGACTTCTGAAGGATCATCTCGTCACTCCTCAGTGTCACGGGTCACCGCAGGCTCTATCCTTCCTCTATTATACGAGAACGGATCCTCGGCAGGCCCTTTGAAGTCCTGTCCCTCTATCCAAGCTTCAGCCAATCTACGCTGTCAGGAGGCCGCAGGTCTCAACCCAAGCCGTTGCTAAGGTGGCTACGAAAAGAGAAGAGAAAGTGTACTGCACTCGCCAATCAGTGAGAAGAGGATGCGCATGCGTAATAAATTACAAAGTACGTCCCACCACGTTTCTCCAAAGTTGCAAATAGGGGGCTGGCGCTGTAGATAGAACTGAACTGGGGAGGGGGACTGTGGTGTCGGTTACCATGAGAACTGTACTGGCCAATCACTGAGAGAAAGAGGAGGTGTTCAGGAAGAAACTAAATTGGACCCGAGAGGAGGGACCAAGCGCGACCAATAGAAACAGGAAATGCAGTTCCACCATATCCGGCACTGCCTCTGGCGCCTGCGCTCTGTGAGGGGGAGGCCGGTGATGTCCGGTGAAGTCCAAGATGGCGGCCCTGGGCTGATCCTGCGGCTGCAGCTGCTGGTGAGGGGCCCAGGATTGACGAGGGCAGGATGCAGCAGGTGTAGACGTGCGGAAGAGGGTTGGGGCTGCAGAGTACCGGTCGCATCTCCACCTATGCCCTTTGTCTTCTGCAGGTGACGGTAGTGCCGCCAACTCCTGCCTGACGTCCCTTGGGGAGACCCTGCGCCGCCCCTTGACGCCACGGCCATGTCTGGGCCCGGCAACAAACGCGTCGCCGGCGACGGGGGCTCGGGGCCCCCGGAGAAGTTGAGCCGCGAGGAGAAGACCACAACCACGCTTATAGAGCCCATTCGTCTTGGGGGCATCTCTTCCACGGTTCGTGGGTTTTTTCCTCAGCTCTCACAACTTGCCAGATTTCCAACTGTTCACCCAGATCGATCGGAACCTTATTCCCAGTTCCAAAGTTTAGCAGGATCGACACTGTTGAAAAAAAAGAAGAACACGATGTCTACTTTCCCTTTACAGATAGGAAAACAGGCTCCTCGAGGGCGTGTGCTTCAAAGACTTCAGAGTTAGGAAGAGACAGAAGTAGACCTTCCTTACAACCAGGATACTGTGTGTGGGTGTCTGAGCCTCTTTTAAATTCTGTTAGCAGTTAGTTTGGGGATACTGCCCTCTCCCACCCGTTCCATTTGCTTTCCTCTGTCTCTGTGATTGATGTCTTGGGCTCTGTTTGACTTTTTCCTTGGCCCCTTTGTTGCATTGGTAGGAGGAGATGGACCTGAAGGTTTTGCAGTTCAAGAATAAGAAACTAGCAGAGCGGTTGGAACAACGACAGGCTTGTGAAGATGAACTCCGAGAACGAATTGAGAAGCTGGAAAAGCGGCAGGCCACGGATGATGCCACGCTCCTCATTGTCAATCGCTACTGGGCCCAGGTGGATGCCCCTCTGTTTTCCAAGACCTGGCCTTGATCCAGCTGCCAAACCTCAGACTCCTCTGCTGGGAAGGAGTATCATGCTGGGAAGCACCTGAGGGATTCATAACATTTTTGGTGCTTTCTCCCTTCAGCTGGATGAAACTGTGGAAGCCCTTCTCCGACACCATGAGAACCAGGGGGAGTTGTCTTCAGGGACAGAGGCGGCTGGGACCCAGGAGGGGCCAACACGTGATGAGACCGCTCTCACAGAGCCAGGGACATCGGAACTGAGGGGTAGGACCAGAGATTAAGTTCTGGGAAAGGCTCTGGAGAGGAAGGGACTTTGGCATTAGGCTCCTGAATTCCCTGCCCACATGCACACAAAATCGGTTTTATGTTTGGGTACCAGAGTACAATGAGTAAAAAACTTTGGAATCTGACTTCATTCATAGTTCATTTCATGTTTTGACATTCATTTAATTCAAAAGAGTATTACTATCAAGTGCTGATTATGTGCCTGGCATTGATCTAGACTCAGAGGAAACATAGATAAAAAGAAATACTATCCTACCATTAGGGAGGAAATGATTATAAATCATAAGTTAAAAGTATAGGGACCCCAAACAAGAATTGGTGTGTGTGCACTTGTGTGTGGCTCTTATTTAGTTTGAGAAGGCAGAGAGGGCTTTCCTAAGGAAGTGATTGGGAGCTCTGTGGCCTTGATGAAATGCTCTTAAATGTCAGTTGTTTTGCTCTCAAAATGGGAATAACGATGTACTACAGGTGTTGCTTGTGTTGATTCATTGAGCCATAGCGTGTTGAAAGGTTCAGTCGGGAATGTGGTGCAGAGTTGTAACTGCTGCTGTTATCTTCATGAGAGTTTATTCATCTGTCCCAGAGACCCTGCCAGTGCAGCTGCGGCCCCCACTCAGTGAGCCAGCCTTGGCTTTTGTGGTGGCACTGGGCGCCAGCAGTAGTGAGGAGGTGGAGCTGCAGCTGCAGGGCCGTATGGAGTTCTCCAAGGCAGCCGTGTCCCGTGTTGTAGAGGCCTCAGACCGCCTACAGCGCCAGGTGGAGGAACTCTGTCAGCGAGTATACAGCCGAGGTTAGTTCTTTGTGCTCCCACCCCAGAAGTGTCCATGCCAATTTGCATCTCTGTCATATCGCTTCCTTATGGCCTCTAGCCCAAAGATAGCCAGAATTCCACAGGGAATAAGTCAGCCATGTTCTCAGGGACAGGGTTAGGTTGTAGATGGGGGCTTCAGCTTTGATTTCTGGAGTTGAACTCTAAAAAGATGGGTGAGAGGAGTTGTTGATTCTAGTGGGGCCATCCCCCTTTTGGCTGGATATCTTTTTTGGAGCACTTAGCACAAATCTTGGTGTCAGTTACTGATCCACAAGGCAAAGTTCCCAGACTTTGTAGGCCAAAAAAGCCTTTCAGCCTTAGTTCTGTCACTCTAGTCTTGGCATTCTGGGCAAATGGCTCTCCTTTCCAGTGGCAGTGGAGGTAAAGACTCCTGGTTTTGTCTTAAGAAATTAGCAAGACAGCTGGTGGATCACACTGGGCATATAGTAGATTCCAGAATGAGTTAGTACTTTTCCCCTTTACCCTGGGCTTGACTTTGACCTGAGCCCTGACTTCCCAGGGGACAGTGAGCCTCCCAGTGAGGCGGCTCGGGCACGTACCCGGGAGCTGGGACGTGAGAACCGGCGACTTCAGGACTTGGCCACCCAGCTACAGGAGAAGCACCACCGAATCTCGTTGGAGGTGGGAGTTGGGATTTGGGATTTGGGTGGCGGGATTAGATTTAGGTTAGGTGGACACCCAAGGGTCTCAGGGAACCACGTCTCCTCATTTAAGCATCTGCCCTCTTCATCATTCCCAGTACTCTGAGCTCCAGGATAAAGTAACATCTGCAGAGACCAAAGTGCTAGAGATGGAGACAACAGTAGAGGACCTGCAGTGGGACATTGAGAAGCTGCGCAAGCGTGAGCAGAAGCTCAATAAGCACCTGGCAGAGGCCTTGGAGCAGGTGGGACTAGGGTGCTATGTCAGATGAAGCCAGGGCTGGGTACTTAGGACCCATGGTTCTCTCCTGCACATTCATTTGCCTCTCTTCCTTCTCTCCACAGCTTAACTCTGGCTACTACGTGTCTGGGAGCTCCTCAGGCTTTCAGGGGGGCCAGATCACACTCAGCATGCAGAAGGTGAGTAGGCATCATTCTTCCCAGTCCCTCAATCTTTACCCCTGAAATTCCCCACAGAGTTAAGGAGAGACATCCAATTATGGTCTCTGATGCCCTTCTCTGTCACTTGAACTGCTCTTTGTTGTGTTCACACACAAATAATATTCAGTAAGTAATTGCTAAGCACTAAGTGCTAGCACTGTGCTAGGAAGAAGGCGTATTGGAGAACAAAATAGACAAAGGTCAAAGCCGTCACAGAGCTTAAGTTCTATTTGGGAGAACTGACAAGAAGTAAAACAGCACATCAGTTGGTTATAAGTACCATCAAACAAACAAACAAAAAAAAACATAGAAAAGAGATAAATGGAAGTGTTGGAGGCGATTGGAATTTTTAGTTGGGTGGCTGAAGAAGAGCCTTGCTGGGGCAGTGCATTTTAATCACTGTCTTGTTTGTCCTCCTTTTGCTGTCTCATCTCTTGGTCATTGCACATTTTCCTGGGGCTGTGGGGATCACTGTGCCCTGTTTCCCTTTCCTTCAGCATGCTCTTCAGGGCTTCCAGGTAGACTCCTCTCAGTCCCTAGCAATCCAAGCCTTGATTTCCAGCATCGACCATACAGTATTAAGTTTTTTCCACTTGCCCGGGAAGTCTTAGGAAAGTGCTTACATCTGTTTTGTCTCTGAGGCTTCAGAATACATCATTGCTACACATAGGAAGCCTCAATGGGGCTTATGTGAGGGAAGCATGCCTGCTGGCTTGGTCCTGATTCCCACAACTCTTTCCACTCCACAGTTTGAGATGCTGAATGCAGAGCTGGAGGAAAACCAGGAATTGGCCAACAGCCGCATGGCAGAGCTGGAAAAACTACAGGCTGAACTTCAGGGGGCTGTGCGGACCAATGAGCGCCTTAAGGTAGGCTGTGTTTGGGGCTGGGATGGCCTGAGACCACAAGTTAGGGCTGAGCCCTGAATCCTCTTGCTGATCACCTTTGGGCATCCCTGCCTTTAGGTGGCTCTACGGAGCCTTCCTGAGGAGGTAGTACGGGAGACAGGGGAGTACCGAATGCTGCAGGCCCAGTTCTCACTGCTTTACAATGAGTCTCTGCAAGTAAAGACCCAACTGGATGAGGCCCGGGGGCTGCTGCTGGCCACCAAGAACTCACACCTGAGACACATTGAGCACATGGAGGTATAGCCCTGGAATGGGTGGGGGTTGAGGGTAAGGGCCAGACCTTGAGGGTCAAGGTGTTCCTGGGTCAAGCCCCTGTATGCATGCCTAGGGTCCATGGGAATAAATTCTTAGGCCACTGAGGCCTAGGTTGGGGAGGCTTGCCAGGGGGCAGAGGGGTTGTATGGATTCTTAATGCCCCAACCTACAGAGTGATGAGTTGGGGCTGCAGAAGAAGCTGCGCACAGAGGTTATCCAGCTGGAGGACACACTGGCCCAGGTACGCAAGGAGTACGAGATGCTGCGTATCGAGTTTGAACAGAATCTGGCGGCCAACGAGCAGGCTGGTATGTGGTGAGGATAGGGTGGAGGGTGGGCCTTAACTGGGATTGGTGAGCCCTGGTGA